ATATAGAAGACGCTGGAAATAACATGGGGGCTGATTGGAAAGATGGTTTATTGATGAAGCAGGAGAACCAGTCTGTGGTTCTGGAGCAGCTGACCAAATGGTTGAATGAACGGATGGATCTTTATAGGTTTCTGTGACTTTGAAGTTTGAACTGTTTGGGGGCGTGTGTGTGTGTGTGTTGTGCAACGAAGAGGCTTGTGACTTTGACTAAATGATGGTGGGTAATTCTTATTGTGGCTGATGGCTATGTCCCTTGTTAGATTTTTTTTTTGGGGGGGTGAGGGGCCGCTTGCTCTAATCCTATCACTCTTGCTTTCGTTAGCTGTGGAAATGGCTGTAAACGGGGTTTCGAACTATCCTGTCTTGAATGGGCTTCTGCCGGCGGTATTTGCTTTGCTTATGAATGGAGCCATCTAGATAGTTGGCTTCCTTTGTCAATAAGCTCATTGTTTCCTTGCGTGCTGTGGGCTATTAAGAAGGTCTGGGGGGGGGCTGCTTTCTGCCTCTAAGAACATGTTTCTCCATTTCTCCTTTGGGGGAAATACTGTATAATAGTCTGCCTCTTTTAAATATTTAATTCTTTGACTTCCCACAAAAGAGATGAATAAGAATAACAAGAGACACAGCAGATATGATCAAAAGCTCTTCACTGAATGTCTTTAACAGGGATCTTTAAGTACATAATTCAGAATAACAGAGTTGGGAGGGACTTCGGAGATCTTCTAGTCCAACCCTCTGCCCATTAAAACCATTCTTTCTTGTAAACCCTCCAGTGATGAAGGACTCACAACTTCTGGTGGCAAGTCGTTCCACTGATCGTTTTGAACTATTGCCACCTGGCAGACGGTACAGGGCAATAAGAACAAGGACAGATAGGCTGAAAAACAGCTTCTATCCCAGGGCAGTCACTCTATTGAATTCTACTGCGTAGTGCAATAATAATTTAATATCGGTTTTCAATTCAATTGTATAAAATATGAAGGATGTGTGTTTGTGTTTTATTTGTATCGTTATAATGTATAGTGAAGATGGCATTTAATTACTTTGTACGAGGTGCAATGACAATAAACTAAACTAAACTAAGCTAAACAAGGGGGGGGAAATACCATTTCTGCAAGTCGCATCCATTCCTTTACAGGTTCTCAGGAGAAGCACTGCCAATCAAGGAGCAGAGTGGCGCAGCGGAAGCGTGCTGGGCCCATAACCCAGAGGTCGATGGATCGAAACCATCCTCTGCTAATTACCTTTTTCTTTTCTCTTTTTTTTCTTTCTTTTCTTTTTTTTCTTTTTTCTTCTTTCTTCTTTTCTTTTCTTTTTTCTTCTTTTCTTTTCTTTTCTTCTTCTCTTCTTTTTTCTCCCCCCTCCCCTATTCTGGATTCCAGGACAGTTTGAGCCAAAATGCCATTATTTTTCAGGCCCCTTCCAACAATTACAGTGCCAATCAAGGAGCAGAGTGGCGCAGCGGAAGCGTGCTGGGCCCATAACCCAGAGGTCGATGGATCGAAACCATCCTCTGCTAATTACCTTTTTTTCTTTTCTTCTTTTCCTTTCCTTTCTTTTCTTCTCTCTTCTCTTTTCTTCTCTCTTTTCTCTTTTCTTTTCTTTTCTCTTTTTTCTTTTCTTCTCTTTTCTCTTATTTTCTTTTCTTTTCTCTTTTCTCTTTTCTCTTCCCCTTTCTCTTCTCTTCTCTTTTTTCTTTTCTTCTCTTTTCTCTTCTCCTTTCTCTTCTCTTCTCTTTTTTCTTTTCTTTTTTCTTCTTTTCTTTTCTCTTTTCTTCTTCTCTTTTCTCTTTTCTTCTTTCCTTTCCTTTTCTTCTTCTCTTTTCTCTTCTTTCCTTTCCTTTCCTTCTTCTCTTTTCTCTTCTCTTCTTTCCTTTTCTCCTCTTTTCATTCTTTTCTTTCCTTTTCTCTTCTCTTCTCTTTTCTCTTCTTTTCTTTTCTCTTCTTTTCTTTCCTCTTTTCTCTTCCCCTTTCTCTTTTCTTTTTTCTTTTCTTTTCTCTGTTCTTTTCTCCTTTCTTTTCTCCTTTCTTTTCTCTTTTTTCTTTTCTTTTCTTTTCTCTTTTCTTTTCTCTTTTCTTTTCTCTTCTCCTTTCTCTTCTCTTTTTTCTTTTCTTTTTTCTTCTTTTCTTTTCTTTTTTCTTCTTTTCTTTTCTCTTCTTCTTCTCTTTTCTCTTTTCTTCTTTCCTTTTCTTCTTCTCTTTTCTCTTCTTTCCTTTCCTTTTCTTCTTCTCTTTTCTCTTCTTTCCTTTCCTTCTTCTCTTTTCTCTTCTTTCTTTCCTTTTCTTCTTCTCTTTTCTCTCTTCTTTCCTTTTCTCTTCTCTTTTCTCCTCTTCTCTTTTCTCCTTTTCTTTTCTCTTCTTTTCTTTCCTCTTTTCTCTTCCCCTTTCTCTTTTCTTTTTTCTTTTCTTTTCTCTGTTCTTTTCTCCTTTCTTTTCTCTTCTTCTCTTCTCTTTTCTCTTTTCTCTTCTCCTTTCTCTTCTCTTTTTTCTTTTCTTTTTTCTTCTTTTCTTTTCTCTTTTCTTCTTCTCTTTTCTCTTCTTTTCTTCTTTTTTCTTCTTCTTTTCTTCTCTCCCTCCCCCATTCTGGATTCCAGGACAGATTGAGCCAAAATGCCATTATTTTTTTAGCCCCCTTCCAGCAATTGCTAAGGGCAGTAGATATTTTTATTTGGTTTCTGGAAGAGATCGCAAGCGGAAAAGAAACAACCGTGAGTTGCTCCTGCTCGGACCGCAGAGAGAAAACAGCTTTACAGGGTTTTTCTCAGCCTCCTTTGGCTAAGATTTCCCACCAACGTCGCAGAGAGGCTTGAAAAACAAGGAATTCTTAAACTCGGCAGAAATAGCTAATTTCCAAGCGACGGAGAGAGAGATAATTTGTAAGTAACACTTCACGGTTGCCAAGCGGCAGTCAGGATGGCCGAGCGGTCTAAGGCGCTGCGTTCAGGTCGCAGTCTCCTCTGGAGGCGTGGGTTCGAATCCCACTCCTGACACATTCACTTTTTCAAACGGAATGATAATACTTGCTTTTTTAATATTATTGCCAGCGTTGAGATAGCATTTATTTTGAGATAGCATCGAAGTCTGACAATTATGTTTTCATATTTTATAGAACAGAATAGAATTTTTTATTGGCCAAGTGTGATTGGACACACAAGGAATTTGTCTTTGGTGCATACGCTCTCAGCGTACATAAAAAGAAAAGATACGTTCATCAAGGATCATAAGGCACAAGACGTAATGATAGGCATAGGATACAAATAAGCAATCAAGTCGTACTAGGAAACAATATCAATATAAATAGTAAGGATACAAGCAACAAAGTTACAGTCATGCAGTCATAAGTGGAAGGAGATGGGTGATAGGAACGATGAGAAGATTAATAGTAATAGTAATGCAGCCTTAGTAAATAGTTTTGACAGTGTTGAGGGAATTCTTTGTTTAGCAGAGTGATGGCATTCGGGAAAAAACTGTTCTTGTGTCTAGTTGTTCTGGTGTGCAGTGCCCTATAGCGTTGATTTGAGGGTAGGAGTTGAAATAGTTTATTTATTTTTATTTATTTATTTAATTTTATTTATTAAATTTGTATACCGCCTTTCTCCTTTCGGACTCAGGGCAGCGAACAGCCAAAATAAAAACACAAAACACAACACTTTTGTACACAAAAGTTAAAATAATTATTTAAAACTAATTAAATAGAATTTGGCCCATAATTTAAAACATATCAATTAAAATCAATATCAAACGTTAAAACCAACATGGAATCAGGCCAGCCCGGCTAGCTGAAAAAAGTAAGTTTTTAGGGCCCAACGAAAAGTCCGGAGGTCTGACATCACTCGTATCTTTATACATATAGTTTATGTCCAGGATGCAAGGGGTAAGTAAATATTTCCACAGCCTTTTTTTTTTTGACTCATGCAGTATACAGGTCCTCAATGGAAGGCAGATTGGTAGCCATTGTTTTTTCTGCAGTTCTAATTATCCTCTGAAGTCTGTGTCTGTCTTGTTGGGTTGCAGAACCAAACCAGACAGTTATAGAAGTGCAGATGAGATTCAATAATTCCTCTGTAGAAGTGGATCATTTGATCAAGACTTCGTTTGTTAAATATGTTGGAAGAAACTTCCTTCTAGGTTCTGCTCCAAGTGGGGAAAAAGACACTGGAGACATGGAGACTGCTTGGAAAGATGGTTTAATGGTGGACAGGATCACATGGCTTGAGTTCCTGAACAGAAAAGGGGCTGATACAGTAAATCTTCGGGTTTTTATGCTCTCTCTGGCTCTGCATTTCTTGGGGTCCCAAAAGAGTATCCTGATTGGTTGTCAGACTCCCAGGGGGTGGGGGCCTTGCTGGCTGATGGTCACATGTGCTTCCCAGGTCACATGTGGTGAGTTTCTGCTGCTATTGTGTAGAGGGCTAATCCCATCTTTGGCAATTCCTACTATGGCTCTGCCTGAAGGAGGTAGATCTTTGTTATGTAGAATAGACTGGCCCAGGCCTTAATGGCCCATTGACAAAGGGGGGGGGGCAGGAAGGTGGGAGCTGCTTTGTCTGTAAAATATGCTTCTCATATTTCTCATCCAGGGAAATATAATATTCTGCCTTTTTAATATTTCCTAAAATATTTCACTCTTCCAGGAAAGGGGTGGGTGCTAACTTCCTACAATACGATTTTTCTGGGGCCTTCTCCTATTTCCTGCTAGCCGATAAGATCCATCCACTTCAATTTTCCTTTTGTCTTGGAGAGCTCCCCAAATGCTTGTATCATGCAAATGGCATTTAGTTAGCACAATCTTTGCATAAAGTTAGCAATTAGGCTGGTCTGTAGCAAAATGTTTTTCCAAATAAAGAAGTCCAGTTGTTTCTTGAAAAAGCACCTAGCCAAATTGTGCTGCCTGAAGACTTTGTTCACCTTCTGAAAAGAAGGAGGGGAGCCCACTTGAATTGTTTTAATTATTGTGAAAGGTGTTCAAGGATCGAGCCCAATAACTCCATCACACAAGTATTCATTTAATCAGAAGTCTTTATTCGTAACATGTCTCTTCCTTACAGGTGCTGTACTGGAACTGGCTCTGGACCGCATGGTTGGACCTTAAGTACCACTGGGGCGGGGCTAAGGTAAGGAGAGGTCAATGGGTTAGGGTGGATCCTGGGGATCGATCTCACCAGCCCCCTGCCTCCTGGCCTGGGCATGAGATCAGGTATTTATATGTGACAAAACCCCCTTTAAATGCCTGACCTGGGTGACTATAGGTTACGTACGCACAAGAAGTTACCTATGAAAGAATACCCAGTTTGGATGTTAGGTTTGCATGCTGTTTGTTTTGTAAAGGTTTTGTTAGTATGTCGGCTGTCTGATAATATTCTGCTTTTCATATTTCCTAAAATATTTCACTCTTCCAGGAAAGGGGTGGGTGCTAACTTCCTACAAATAAAAGGCGGATGTGGGTGAAATCCCTAGATTTTAGGCACTTTTGGGCTAGAACCCCTGGCTCAAAAAAGATGCCTAGTTTGGGCCTTGTATCACAAAAATGATACTAGAGGACTAAACTGGAACGAGATTCTGTGAAATGGGCTGGAAATCATAATCAACCTTAAGGGTTCAGAACCACCGTATTACTACGTGTATTACAGATCTCAACCTAATGTTCCTACCGATTATTCCCCGCTAGATATTGTGGGTCTCAGCTCCTTTTAGGGAAGAGGTGGTGGCTCTTAAAAGAGCCTTTGGGGGGTTTGGTCAGCGGGCCTGGGGTGAGCCTCGGCGGGTCTTTTTTACGCCCTCTCCCCGCGGATGCGCCGGGCCAGCTGGATGTCCTTGGGCATGATGGTGACGCGCTTGGCGTGGATGGCGCACAGGTTGGTGTCCTCGAAGAGCCCCACCAGGTAAGCCTCGCTCGCCTCCTGCAGGGCCATGACGGCCGAGCTCTGGAAGCGCAGGTCGGTCTTGAAGTCCTGCGCGATCTCCCGCACCAGCCGCTGGAAGGGCAGCTTGCGGATCAGCAGCTCCGTCGACTTCTGGTAGCGGCGGATCTCGCGGAGGGCCACGGTCCCCGGCCGGTAGCGGTGAGGCTTCTTCACGCCGCCCGTGGCCGGAGCGCTCTTCCGCGCCGCCTTGGTGGCCAGCTGCTTGCGGGGCGCCTTCCCGCCGGTCGACTTGCGAGCCGTTTGCTTGGTACGAGCCATGCTCTCTCACCGACACTGGAACCTCAGCCTCGAAATGACGCGAAATGAAGCTCTGGCGCCGTCCGTCGGCCTTTTTATAGCCCGCGCTTTAGCCTGATTGGCTGAAACCGCTGCGTTCGAAAGTCTCGCCTCGACGCTGATTGGATCCCCATTAAAACAATACCTTTCTCTAGCTCTGGCACATCCCGCCTATCATCGGTTGCCGAGGCTTTGTTTCCACGCCCACAACAATCCGACTCTGAATGAATGAATTACAAACTATCAACCCTTGAACAATTATGTTCCCCCCCCCCCGAAACTGTTTCAAGCTACTGCGTGAAATCGTGGGATTAAAAACATCCAGCGTTTGGTGCGTTTCCTCATTTGACCTGTGTGTTGTTATACAACCAGGGTACTTTACTGGAGTATTAATTTCGTATTAGTTAAATTCGACAAAAATCCCAATGTTGATCTAAGCAAAGTGCGAATTTAGCCTTAGCATTTCGCTTTCATTTGCGGTGTTTTCATTCCTGGGTTTTATAATTAATTGCTTTAAATAGCTTTGAGGGTTGTAGGACAGGTTGGCAACATTCTGCAAACATACAAGTCTCCTGAATTTTTTTGGGGGGGTGGGGGTGGAGGAGGGCTCTGGTGTGTGCATAGGCGCGCCTTTTGAATAAGCAGAAAATACGGATACGTTTTTGGGTTTATAAATTACTATGGTCTTGGTTGGTTGAGATACGTCTTGACTTTTTAAGATTAACGCCTGCAATGGAAACGGCCCTATTTCAAATCTTCAGAAGCAGACACAACTCGTTAGTTACTTCGAAAGAAAAGCAGCTTGGATCTAGGTAAAATAGGATCTATTTATCTATTTATCCTATTTTATATAGATCAAACCTGCTTATATAAAGTAAATCCAATATAAATATTTAAATATAAATTTAAATATAAATCAAATTTAAAAAAAAAATCCAAGATCGATATAAAAGCAGCTTGGATCAATATAAAATAGGATCTATCTATCTATCTATCATCTATCTCGATATATACGCTGATATATATTATATAGACCCTATTTTACATAGATCCAAGCTGCTTTTCTTTCTATATATAGATATAAAAATAAAAACGCGCTTTATTGCTTAGTCGCCCGATTGGTGGCTTACGCTCTTGAAGGAATTGAATTGCATTCAGAAAACTGTCCACCAACAGTAGCTACTTTGAAAAGCCCGCCAACGTAGGAGATTGGCTGGTACTGGTGACTTGATTAGCCAAACAGGAAACGTCCTTTTAGTTTGAAATTGCCGCCATAAAAGGCCAGAGTCTTTTTATGCCTAAACCGCATCGTTTACTTCATTTTGTTTTTTAAAAAGCTACTGTTTACTGTTTACAAACGGAGCTCAATAGATAAGACATTTTCTATCGTTTACTGTCTTTTAACAATGCAAATGCAATCCCAACGGATTTTCTCGGTTTGCTATCCCAAAATGAATTTGAGGTTTCAAAAACTGGGCTCTGGAACTCCGGAGGTGCTTTTTTTTGTAGAACAATGAACTGCATTCAATTTTCTTTGAAAACGTTTCGCTTCTCATCCAAGAAGCTTCTGCGGTCGAAATTCTAAGCTTCTTGGAGTAGAAGTGAAACATTTTTAAAGGAGAAAAAAAAACACACAAAATCCCAAGGAAGTTCAGTCGCCTTTTGGGGGAAAAAAATCACCTATGGGACAACGGTGACCTGGATAATTGGAAAATCTCCATAGAGACTGGATGGAATGTATCTATTGTATCTACTCTATTCATTTGGGTGGCTCAAATGTCTGCTTTTCATTGCAATTGTGAAAATATCTACAGACCCCGCACATCCTGGATTTAAATTGCTTCAACTTCTACCTTCAAAATGACTATAGAGCACTGCACATCAGAACAACTAGACACAGGGAGTTTTTTTCCCCAATGCCATCACTCTGCTTAACAACTAATTCCCACACTGTCAAATAATTTACTAAGACTGTATTAATTACTATTATTCTTCTCTTCTTTACTAGTATCTATCTCTTTCCACTTATTGCTATAACCATGTGCTTGCGGCTTTCTATTTATATTGTTTTTACTTGTTTCCTAGTACGATTTAATAGCTTATTAGTAACCTTGACTATCACTAAGTGTTTTATCTTTTTATTCTCGATGAATGTACACTGCTCAAAAAAATAAAGGGAACCCAAGCAGAAGACATCGGAGATCTGAATGAATGAAATAGCCTTATTAAATACTTTGTTCGTTACATACAGTAGTTTTGTGTTCCCTTTAGTTGTTTGAGCAGTGTATAAACTACTGTATGTAACGAACAAAGTATTTAATAAGGCTATTTCATTCATTCAGATCTCGGATGTCTTCTGCTTGGGTTCCCTTTATTTTTTTGAGCAGTATATTTTATTCTCCTTATGTACACTGAGAGCATATACACCAAAGACAAATTCCTTGCGTGTCCAATCACACTAGGCCAATAATAAAGAATTCTATTCCATCCTGAGAAAGACGTTTTGCATATGTATCATGTAACCTTTTGTAGAGGAAATGTTAAAAAAAGGATCTCAGGATACTGTTTCAATTTAGCAATTTGAGACAAGCTCTATAATTGCAATTATGGCTTAAGAAAGATGCATTTTTTAAAAAATATGTATCTTAATGCTTTTGTGGAGAAAATTAAAAAAACAATAAAGGATCTTAGGATCCCATTTGGCTTAGCAAGTTGAGACAAGCTCTTTCCTAGAAAAGGTTTATTCTCCTTATATACACTGAGAGCATATACACCAAAGACAAATTCCTTGTGTGTTCAATCACATTTGGCCAATAATAAAGAATTTTATTCTATTCTGAGAAAGATGTTTTGTATATGTATCATGTAACCTTAATGTTTTTGTAGAGGAAATTTTAAAAAAGTGGGGAGGAGCAATGCTGAAGAAGAAAGTATTATTGAAGAAGGACTGGAAAAAATATAGAAAGAAAGACTGGTTATATTTTGGAGATTGTCTCATGATGTTTAAAGATCGAATTAAAGTCGGATAACTTCTGAATTTTATGGTAGTTTTAAAGTATTGAAGTTTAAAGGTGGATAACTTAAAATTTAATGGATAACTTTCTGCAAGTTTTGAAACTTATATTTTGGAGAATGTTCTGCTAAAGTACTAAGAGATTTTAAAATGTTTAAAATAAGATTATGGCTTTTTTTTTTACAAATGTGAAATGTGGTAAGAGAATTTATAAAAGGACGGTTGAAGTATAATTTTTAAAAGGGGAGTTAACAAGTGTGAGAGAGTTTTGAATTCTGTAATAGTTAGCATATTTTAGCTTATGTTTGTTAAATGCTATATCCTGTTTTTGCTCTGGGAAGTGGGGGGGAATTGGGGAGGGGGGATAAAATGATGTATGATAATTGAGCGTGTAGTGTTTGGTTATTTGAATATAAAAAATAAAAAAACTTGTCTTTTAAAAAAAAGGATCTCAGGATCCTGTTTCAATTTAGCAAGTTGAGACAAGCCCTATAATTGCAATTCTAGTTTAAGAAAGATGCTTTTTGAAAAAAACATATGTATCGTGTAATCTCAATGCTTTTGTAGAATTTTTTTTAAAAAAAGGATCTCAGGATCCTGTTTCAATTTAGCAAGTTGAGACAAGCCCTATAATTGCAATTCTAGCTTAAGAAAGATGCTTTTTTTAAAAAAAAAATATGTATCGTGTAACCTCAATGCTTTTGTGGAGGAATTTTTTTTTAAAAAAGGATCTAGGGATCCTGTTCCGCTTAGCAAACCGAGACAAGCTCTTTCCTAGAAAAGGTTTATTCTCCTTATGTACACCGAGAGCATATACACCAAAGACAAATTCCTTGTGTGTCCTATCACATTTGGCCAATAATAAAGAATTCTATTCTGAGAAAGTTGTTTTGTATATGTATCATGTAACCTTAATGCTTTTGTAGAGGAAATGTTAAAAGGATCTCAGGATCCTGTTTCAACTTAGTAAGTTGAGGCAAGTTCCATAATTGCAATTATGGCTTAAGAAAGATGCATTTTTTAAAAATATGTATCTTAATGCTTTTGTGGAGAAAATTAAAAAAATAATAAAGGATCTTAGGATCCCATTTGGTTTAGCAAGTTTGAGACAAGCTCTTTCCTAGAAAAGGTTTATTCTCCTTATGTACACCGAGAGCATATACACCAAAGACAAATTCCTTGTGTGTCCAATCACACTTGGCCAAAAATAAAGAATTCTATTCTATCCTGAGAAAGACATTTTGTATATTATCATGTAACCTTTTGTAGAGGAAATGTTAAAAAAGGATCTCAGGATCCTGTTTCAATTTAGCAAGTTGAGACAAGCTCTATAATTGCAATTCTAGCTTAAGAAAGATGCTTTTTAAAAAAAAAATATGTATCGTGTAACCTCAATGCTTTTGTGGAGGAATTTTGTTTTAAAAAAGGATCTAAGGATCCTGTTCCGCTTAGCAAACCGAGACAAGCTCTTTCCTAGAAAAGGTTTATTCTCCTTATGTACACCGAGAGCATATACACCAAAGACAAATTCCTTGTGTGTCCAATCCCATTTGGCCAATAATAAAGAATTCTATTTTATTCTGAGAAAATTGTTTTGTATATGTATCATGTAACCTTAATGCTTTTGTAGAGGAAATGTTAAAAAAGGATCTCAGGATCCTGTTTCAATTTAGCAAGTTGAGACAAGCTCTATAATTGCAATTCTAAGTTTAAGAAAGATGCTTTTTTAAAAAAAAAAATATGTATCGTGTAACCTCAATGCTTTTTCTGGAGGAATTTTTTTTTAAGAAAGGATCTAAGGGATCCTGTTCCGCTTAGCAAATTATTGAGACAGGCTCTTTCCGAGAAAAGGTGGGTGGCTCTTAAAAGAGCCTTTTTGGGGGTGTCGTTCTTGGGCGAGCTGAAGCCGGCGGGCCGGGAGGCTCCTCACTTCCCTTTGGCCTTGTGGCTCTCGGTCTTCTTGGGCAGGAGGACGGCCTGGATGTTGGGCAAGACGCC